GGTGGTGGTGGTGGTGGTGGTGTTCATATCTGCGTTATCAGTACTGCTTTGGTTATGCACGTTCTTCTTCTTATTATTCTTATTATTCTTCTTGATGTTGTCGTCTTCGTCGCTGTTGTCGTCAAGCGTGTTTTTGATGCTCCGGTGCTTATGCTGTTGCTGCTGTTGTTATTTTGGTTGGTTGCGATTGCGGTGCTGCTTGTCGCACATATGCTCGGTGGTGAAGTCGGGAATGTTTACTTTCCCATCCACAGCCAGAGTCAAGGGAGTGAACCATCTGTAAGCTTCTGAAACAACGGGTACTGCTTTGGTCAAGCCGCCTGGCTGCTGCGTGCCGATTATTGCTGGAACATGTCTGATCCTGGTCTTCTTCATGACTTGAGTGATCTTACTCTTCGCGAGCAAGTTCAACTCTCATTGGCCTTGACACGCCTATTCTACTGTGCTGGGTCTTACACATGCCACAGCTTGCTCTACATAAATGTCTTTATCGTTTGGCTGTGATCCTCGTTCTTGGTTCCAGCCTCACGCAGTTGATGGCAGTTTTGGACCTTTTGACTTGATTGAAACGTGCTTCTCTTGAGTCGTTTGCGCCGTCAGGAGCTGTTGGACTTCGCACTGGCTTGGCAGCTTGATCAGGCAAGGCACGACGTCACAGACCTGCACTCCAGAGGCAAAGAGAAGGCACAGAGGCAGAGCGATCAGCCACATCCTCAAACCAAGAAAGCGAATCGAGACTGGAGATCTGATCTCCGCAGGGCTGCCTGGACTTCCTCCAGACACAGGCCAGGGCAATGTTGCTCTACTGTGCGACTGCTCGGAGTCATGACCTTCACTCCACTTCAGGATGCAGAGACCCAGCGCTTCGTGGTCAACAACTTCCAACCCAAAGGAGGCAGGGCCGCTCTTGCCAAGTCCGTGACGGTAGTACCTTTCGCCGTTGAGGTACTGCCAACGTCAGTGGCTCCTTGGATGCACCGAACTAGTTCAGGTGAGCTCGAACCCTGCGTACCTTTATTGCAGTCACGTTCCGATCTGTTCTTTTCGATGGCGAGGTCTTTTCATGAGCTATGTGCACTCCTTGATCAGGGCTGGCAAGGGCGGCAAGGGTATGAGATGAGACCGCGTGTGGAGAGAAGCAAAAACACCAAATCGTCGAAGCATTGCAGCTTTCTCCAGCGCCATCTATACAGGCAGATTGTTGATGAACAGCGATGACACAGGTCTTGGTACGTGACCAGGCAGTAGGCCAGCAGGCTCCAAAGACGTATGCCCGCCAGGCATGAATTCTACAGAGATGCCGAGCCCCTAGACGAGCTCGCTCGCTCCGTCGTGTCTCAATGAGTCTCGAACCAGGCACCTCTACTGTACACAGTCTGCCAGTGTGGGGTCAGGCCCAGGCTAGGCAGAAAGTCGGAGGGCGACAGGCAAAGGATTTCTGCGCGACGTGGATAACTCCATTGTAGCTCCGGTGATTGTGTGCAGCACCGTCGTGGCAGGCAACGAGTCAGCTTGATATACGAAGGCGTGCATGATTATGCCTCGGGAAGCTACAACTTTTTACGAACCTTATGCGGGAATACAGGTGGGCAAGCACTAGACACGAGATCCGATGCAAAGGCTGCTAACGTGGCCCGTGCAGCGGTGCTCGCTGCGCCGTTGTTTCTAGAGCCACGGGCCGAGTTCGTGCTTCGCCTGCCTGGTGCCGCTTACAATACTTATAACTGAAACCGTGGCATGACATGGCATGACCCAACTCGAAGGCACTGGATCCGCCTCGCCATCGTCGCAGACTTAAGCTTCAAGCTTGGATGCATCTGTTCTTCTTGATCCATCTGCTACTCCTGGAAGTGACGCTTTGCATACGAGAGCGTAAGTGCGGATGGTGGGTGGTGGGTGAGTGAGTCGGTGATACATTGACCTGCGACCTACTTGCTGCCCGCATGCCAAGCAGCACTCCAAACCTTGAAGGTTAAAGAAAGAATGTGTACATTCCGCGTCCTCAAATGGCCCCGTCCCCGAAGAGTTTGAGAGGCAGTGGGGGGCAAGATGCAGCCGGCAGGGAGAACTGTGCGATGATTCCAAGTCGGAGCAACTATGAGCAACTCATGGTTCACTAGCACGCAGCAGCTTAGGGTTCAACGGGGAGCCCATGTGCCACCCAATTTCCGCCGCAAGCCCTTGACAGAAGTCGTTGAACCAGCGCTGCGTTTGTAGTCCTTGAGTGTCTGTTCTCAGGTAGTCTCACATCCCGCGCTGGAAATGTCCTAAGCTCAGCTGCTAGGTCGTTTGACATCTGAAGAATTTGCTGCTGCTGCCTTCAAAGAGGCCTCTGGAAGCGGAGATGCTTGTCAGACAGGCAGCGGATGGGAGCGGCAGTGCAAGCAGTGCCCAGCGTTGGCATGTCACTGGCACAGCTCAACCGACAGGCAATGCTCCTGAACGACACGCACTACTGCTTGCGAGGCTCTGCTCATGCGAAAAGAGCTCCCGCTCAAGATGTTGTCTGTCTGCATTGAAAGAGGCCTGGAGCGGATGCTGTTGCCGAGCGTCCGCGAAGCAGGCAGGCAACTCCGAAAGCTGTTTTGCTGACGCTGGCTTTTTTGCGTAGCAGGAATTGGCTGACGGTCTGTCCTGTCGGTCACAGCGGACGCGTGAACGTGCGGCAACCAGGCACCGGGCGGTCTCCGGATACCAACCTCCTGGAGCGAGCCCTTGGAGGGGCCAATGCCACAAGGCGAGGGGGTGTGGGTGCGTCTATCGCGGCAGCCGCACGGGACCGGAATAGGGATTTGGGGATGGGTCCGCAGCTGGCGATGGCCGAAACACCGTTGTCATGAGCAGCAGGCGGGCAACTTCAACCAGCAGAGAGGCTCGCTTTGCCCAGCCGGGATCAGCCGGGAAAGCCGGGAAAGCAGCTGAACCTGTCATCTCAGACCCGGCGGAGGCTGTTCTTTGGGGACGCATGATGCGACGCACGCAGCGCCGCTGTGGATCCCCTGAGGCTTGTCCGGGAAAGAACGAGAGTTCCTGAAGAAGGGCGCGAGCTCCTGCAGAGCTGCAGGGGTGGAGTTGAGACTCAGTATTCCCGTGGCTCTGCATCTGCGTGAGGTTCCCTGAGAATTTTGGGGAAGCACCCGATTTCTACCAAGGCAGCAGCCAGCAAAGAAGGCTTCAAGTCATGGATGCTCTACGAGGCGCTTCTTCGCAGAAGAGGCCCGGGCAGGAAAGATGCACCTACTGTCAGCTCTGGAGGCGAGACTTTCCATTACTTTCCATGCTGTAAAGGGAGTAAGTTGAGTTCTCCTCCGGAGTTTTCCTGCTGCTTGAAGTTATGCCTGTTGGCAGCAGGCTGGCTCATAGCGGCGCTCGGCGTCTGCTTGCATCTAGAGGTGGCATCCTGCAAGTACCCTAGTGCGATGCATGGGAAGGATGGACTTCTTGGCTCTGGGCAAAAGTATGCAACAGTGGAGCCGTGAGGAGCTTTACTTGACCGACGGCCGGCCCGAAGCACTGCGCGTGCTGGGCGAGGCATGGCATCAAAAACGACATTATCCCTAGTACCCTAGTATTCCTTAGCATCGCCTACAATGCAAACTCTCGCTGCAATCGTGCTGCAAAACTTCGTACCGCGCCCGTGTTGTTCATGGCGGAAAGGCCGTGCGACAGGTCCGCAAATGTGCCGCTCCAAGATTGTGCAGGGACGTTCTGTGCCCCATCTCTCAGAGTGCAGTAGTGGTCATTTTGACGAGCCTCCTAAAAATCCACGGCAGCGCAGTGTCCAGGCCGGGATCCACTGTCGGTGCCTCAGAGTGCAACCGGAGCTCCTAGCAAGGGCTGACGGCGGCGGTCACAGTGCTCCTGTTGAGCTGGATGTGGCTTAGGAAAGTGTGCACAACACTTGCGGTCCACTGCATACTGAGCCCAGGGAAAGCCTGCTCTTTCATTCCCATGCTGGCCACAAGCTTAGTCAATGCAGAGCGCGGCAGAGGCTATCAAAGCACGTGCATAGAGCACCGAAGCGGCATCTGAATAGGTTGTATTGTACTATACTGTCTACACTACACTATATACTAGACAGTATGATCTTACAGTAGACTATATTATATCACATTATGCTACGTTATAGTATAATATATAATATCTTATACTATATTTTCCGACCCTTGTGGGAGCTTCGAAGGCTTCTGGGGTGCCGACTTGTACGCCGCGGACTTCGAGCACCGAGCGCCTTCCGCGCTCGGAGCTCGGATTCCGCAACCCTCCTGGAAGCCATTATAGTATACTATGATACTATGTTGTACTGTTATACTATATATGTTGTACTGTTATAGTATACTATGTGGTAGTGTTATACTATACTATGGTGTACTATTGTAGTATGCTATGTTGTACTGTTATACTATACTATGGTGAACTATTGTAGTATACTATGGGGTACTATTATACTATATATAGTATAATACTAATATTTTAGTGGGTTCTATTATTTTATCCTGTACGATACTGTAGTGTCATATATTACATTGTATTGCACTATATTATATTTTGAGGGCTTTCGAAGTCGTTGGAGATGCCAGCCAAGGAGGGAGCTCCTCTCGGAGGAATGGCTCAGGGAGCAGGAGGTGTGGGCTCTTGCGTGGGTGCCTTGTAGGCCTTTTTAGAGGAGGGTTCTGGGCTCCTTTATGGTATAATTATAAAAAGAACCTAAGGAATACTATTGGTCACTTTTGAAATTGTAAGGTGCAGGGCCTCCCGAAAGCTAGGCATGGCGAAGGTGCCAGGTGACACTGCAGAACGGGACACGAAAATGTGGGGCAAGAAAGAGCGGCTGGAAAGCGGCCGATGCCTTCTCGGATTTGATATTGGGCTTCTTTGCAGCTGGGATAAAGTTTCGCAAAGCTGCAATGGCTGGGTACTCGCCTTGTCCACAGCACACGCTGGACCAGGCTGCAACCTACGAGGGCGGGCGGGACCTGGTCGCAGGGAACCTTGGGCAGCATTGAGCCCATGCCTGCTATTGACATCAAGCACTAACAGTGCAGATGCTAGTTCTGTCCAAGAGCAGGAGCCGCAACCGACATGCAGTCAATGCTCGACAACTGCCGTTTGAATCTGTCTGGTGTGCTGAGAAGCCCAGGCACATGCAGACATTGGCATTCAGCCGGGTCCTCAAGCAACTGCAAACTTCGTGGGATGCATTCGGCTGGCACTGTACCTGCATCTCGACACGGACAAGTTCGCAAGGCTACTCCGCTGTGTACCGGACGATGGTCGTGTCAGGAACCGCGATGGCAGCAAAAAGGGTGCCAACTTCTGTGACGAGACTCTCACTGTCAAAGAATAAAGGAATCGAGGTAAAGCATTTGCGGTGATGATGCTGAGGAGGAGGAAGAGCAGCAGGATGGGTGGACGGGTGTCTATCATGCCGTTGATGGCGACCTCGACCTCGGAGCGAATGCTGACGCAGAACCTATGTAAGTCGCGAAAACTCTGCATGATGATGATGATGATGGTGATGGTTTTCATCATACATCCTTATCGTCATAGACATATCATCATCTTCGCCATCCTTGTCAAGATCACCGTTGCCATCACCAACCATGAGGTAGACGAGGAGTAGAATTACATGCGTTCCCACGGGTCCTATGGATCCTACTATTTCTAGTTTTTTTTACGCATTATTCCCTTTCTTTTCTGAAGCTCCCGCATGCTTTGCCGTTCAGGCCTTCAGTGAGGAAGTCCGAACCTAGGCAGGCCCCAGATTAGGTGCCCAGCATCCTTGCAGCTGTTGTTGCTACGCGCAGCTCGAGCATGCCAAGTCCAGCAGAGTCAGAGGAGGAGGCAAGCCAAGCTGCTGTTCCAAGAGACCAGTCTTCACGAAGCTGTTATGAAATTATCAGAGACCATGCCTCATTGGAGGAGCTGCAACAGCAACATGATGAACAGGCTTTGGGCCAGGACTTTGTCGAAGAATCGCCGACTCATCTTGCCGACCGCCTCGACCGCATCGTGCCGGAGGGATGTGTGCAACCTCGGGCTCCAACAGATTGCTCTCGCGCCCCTGTCATGGAGCGTGGCGGCAGCATGAAGTCCTTGCAGAGTGTGGTGCAGAAAGAGGTCCTTTCGAGGATGTCTTCGAAGATCCTGGCCACTTCGGAAAACGAGCATCCGTGGTTTTCACCCGACGACTGCTGCCGGTTCGCCATTGCCTTTTTCTGTGCAGCCATGTCCATGTCGATCGGCATCGTCCAAGCTACGCGCGGTTGGCAAAGGCTTGTGAGATGTGGGGCAGTGATGGTGTGTACAGCGACGTGGGCAAGTTGCGTCTACACGGCCGTCAGCAGTGGCAACACGGGGTGGAGGCTGGGTGCCAGTCTGGTGCATGTGGTTGAGTCTACAGCCACCATTGCCCTCTTGCTCCGTACAAGTTGCAGCGCTAGGTTCCATCAGTTGAATGCAGTGGCAAAAAAAACGCATGGAGTCTCGGGGCAGTGCGACCACCAGGTGCGATGTGGTGGTGATCGTGATGTGCCTTGTGAGCTGGTTCATGTGCCATGCAGCGCAGCTTCGGCTTCTGTCCATGGCCAGCATCGATCCGACCTGGCAAGCTTACCTTCTTCCCTGCTTTCAACGCCTCTACCGTGCAGCATGGTCGCTTTGGCTCTTGCACCTAAACAAGCAGCTGAAAGACATGGTGGACAGCTTTTGCCGGAGTTGCGTAAGGTGTCCGGGCAGTTTCGGTGAGGCAGCGGATCGCTGGGCTTGTGTCACTGCTTTCGCTGGGCAGGTCACGCAAGAGGGTGATGCGTTGCAGCTTGGGCTTGCAAGAACGAACGAAAGCACAGTAGGTTTGGTCAGAGGCCATGGTTGCGGGCGTGGGTTGAGGAACCCAGGTTTCAGGATTGTCTAGACCCTGACTCGTAAACTGCTGGTAGGCCACACTTCAAAGCTTGCTTAAACCCTAAACTCCAGAGCCCTGACCCTCGGCGTTCTGGGACTTCAGGTATGTCGTCATGGGTGGAACCCTGGTACTGGGAGCTTTCTCGCCCATGGTGGAAGTCTTCCTCCCAGGCGCGTCGGTGTCAAAATCTCAGTGGGGGTCCCTTGCGAAGTTTTTTTTCGCATTATGTAAGTTTAGGCTTCAGGGGTTCAGGGCCTAAGCCCAAGACAGCTAGTGCGGGAGGATCCCTCAGGTGCACTGTCCACAGGTCCGGACTGGTTGCTACCACAGCTGTTCAGCAGCATCGCAAGCTTCTTCCTCATGGTCTACTTGATCAGGAGCGGGGTGGAGGTAAGTGAAAAGTGCCAGAGGGCAGCTATCTTCATCAACAGCATGCAGGGGAGCCTTTCTGCAGACCGCTGGGCTGAACATCGCTTGTTGGTTAGCTACATGGAGAGCAGTGATGCCGGAATCTTCGTTGCGGGTGCCAAGCTTACGCGCTTTTGGTTTTCGCGTGTCCGATCCCTCATGATGAGCAGTGCTTTGTTCCTGGTTTTTCGATTCCAGACGATGCCCGAAGACCATCGAGAGCAGCTGACGCAACAATGGGGTCGCTTTCTGGCCGCCCTGGCCATCTGGGGCTGAGGCATGTGAGGGCCCTTCTTTCAAGCTGAGACTGTGCTTGTGTACAGGCCTCGTGCTCCCATTATTGTAAGGGTATCGAACTCTAGGACTCTAGGACCGCATGTGACCTTACTCTGCTACGGTATGTTGCGTTGTCTTGATCTTTCCTTGGTGTGACGATCATAGGACCATTTTTTCCCTCAGAAGCGCAGTTCTGGAGTCTGAATATTCTGAATGTGTTTCAAGATCATCTGTCAGCATGACGAGTAAAGGTGGACGTGACTGCCAATGCTGTCCCCTGACTTTCTAGACCTTGCAAGAAAAATAACTTGACGTCCACGAGTTCAACACAACAAACGTTGGACGATTTTAAAACCCTGTCTTTATGATGCAGAGATCTTGTTGCGTACAGGATGGAGGGTTTTCAGACCCTGTCTTCATTTTGCAGAGATCTTTGTGCATACAGGATGTGTAGAACACTCCTGCACTAGTGTCGGACGGCTGTACGCGAGCTCAGACAAAACATCGCATTCAACACCCCAACAGCCTTGGCTCCTCGGCGCCTCAGCCTCTTTCAACACCTTGGCAGAGCCCCACCACCACGGCCGCCACGGTCGCCAAGGCCACCGCGGCCACCGTCACCACCACCACCACCACCACCACCACCACCACCACCACCACCACCACGTGGAGCATCTTTGCAGCTTACGCGAGTGACTGCTGCCAGTGCTGTGTATTGTACCCAGCAGATCTCGGTTGGAACTTCATCGTGCCACTTGCAGCTTTTGCACGTAATTCACCGGAGAGCACAAAGGGCCTGACTATACAGCCTTTGGAGCGGTTGCGTGCTAGATCATGGTGCTTACCAGACCGTCGAATTTGCAATTTCCAGCTCGCCAGCATACCTGCATATACAGCTACATTGTGAGGACTTGATTCCACTACAGCAGAGAACGTGGCTCGCAGAGCATCCGAGCACACCTTCAATCGGCCATGGGAGCGCCTTGAAGAGTGCTCTCGGTGCTCAAAGGCGAGCCTGACATGGAATGGATCCAATATGACTGGCCGTCATCAGGATTTGTCATAGCATACTTTGCTGCACTGTCGTACTGGCAGCCTGCATTAGCTGATGTGGACAGCGATGCTTGTTTCGCAGCGGACATGAACAACGCAACAGGCCACAGCATGCTGCTGAACGCTTGCCATTGGGGAAGGCAGCTCCGGTCAAGGCGCGATGCACTGACCACTCCGATCATCCGAGACAGGGTCGGGCCGGGTCATGTCTAGGCTCTCAGCGGCACGGCTGTGCGAGTTATTCTGATTTAGTGATAAGCGTGTATATGTGTATGTTCTTGTGTGTATATATACATACACACATTAGATTAGATAAAAAGAATATGGCCGATAGTTGTATCTCATGCGAAGGTGTTTCTGATGGTCACAAACGCTGAGCGGAATCGCGCAGAGATCGCTTCTTTGCGGCTGGCTGCCCAGAGTTTCACCTGGCGACATGTCATCAGATGCAGTTCCGACGAGGCATGAGATCTCCTCGTTGCTCCAGACCAACGGCCAGTTGCACCAGCATCTAGGACAACTGAACAGCCTCTTGGCGAAACAGTGTCGAAGCTTTTCACTGCAAGCTGCGCTGCCTGACAGAAGTCCGAAGGTTTTCTGCCCGACGCATCCGTCGCAGCAAACTCGCAAGGAGGCCCAGCCCTCTTGTGTTTGAGCGATTTGAGCGATCCAGATGAGACATCTTGACAACCTGCATTTTGGATCATTTTGGCAGGCGCATCTGCTGAGGCCGAGCGAGAGCACTTCGGCGATGATGTGTTCAGCTGCTTCCGTTGACCTTGACGCTGCAACACAAACTGCAGCCATTGCCGCTGCTCAAAAATATCCTGTTTCATTTACACAAGCTGAGCTCGGGGCACCTGGCGTGCCTTTGTTCGTTTTGCATGGGCCACACTCGTTGCAGGAACACGGCAGGTCGGACATGGGTCATGGTGACGCAGCAGGACTTCAAGCAGCACTGCATGGACCGAGCCCGCATCGGCCATTCCTCAGCTTCGAAGACCTACCTGCACCCTGAGACCTGGACGGCTTTCTGGAATCAGGGCTTGAAGCGATCACTGGAAGCCTTGGGCTTCGCATCCCTGACTGTGCGAAGCCAGAGAATCTTGTCACCCCTGGGTTGGCAGAACCGAACTGTGGTTTGTGCCAGTTGGCTGGAGGAGCTTTGACCTGCTTCTAGCAAACATGAGATGCGTAGCAATGTGATATGGAGTTGTCACACAGTTTGACCATGCTTCTGAAGCACAGGACTCACATGACACCGGGCAGAAGGACGATAGCTGAAGACACGCCCTCCGGGGGAATGAAGCCTTTTTTTGCTGTTCCAGTCGCCAACTGATCGGCAAACATGTTGCAAACGAATTTCTGAGGAATATACTAGTATTAGGCGGTGAGATTGCATGTATCGCCTCACGCACCGCCGTAGAGAATTGGCTGTCTTTCGTAGACTGCCTTCGTTGAACACCAAAATGCTTTGTGGTAGCTCCGCTACTTGGACGTGCGTCTTGGGCCCTGCAAATCAGAGCCGACGTCTTCCAAATGTACAGGACGAACTATCAGATTACTCGGCAGCTTTGAAGTTTGGGATGTTGGGAAGCATGGTGACAATCGTCCATCAAGAGCTTGTACGTCCCCGACATCGGTAAAGTGATCATGATTCATGGTATTGAGGTCAGCTCAGCATCCCGAGCCATGCGAAGCACTTTTCTGCAACACTGACCCTGCTTGATCGCATGTGTAAACGGAGAGCCGGTCTTCGTGACAAGTGCCGGTAGCCGGTAGCTGGCATCGAGGGACTCTAACTCTGTCTCTTCCCGGGTTCTTGAATATCCAGACTTAGCCGTGTCCTTACAGGCGAGTCTTCGACGCTCGCGGGAGAACTCAGAGGCGCCAAGGCCGTCTACGACTCAGAGGGCAAATCGCTTCCAGGTGTTGGACCAGCGTCCATCGCCACAAGAGGACTGTGCATGAAAGCACTGCAGACATGCTCAGGTATGGTCACATGCGTTCGGACCCAGGCAAGTGCTGCTTCACCTGCCTTTCGGAGCATACTCGATCAAGCTTCACGGAGGTGCCAGTGGTCTGAGTTCCCCACGTGGTGCTGCAGCACTTGCTTCACTGCTGCGCGAGACTGGGATGCATCACAGGTTGCTGTTGGAATCTGCATTTGGGCGTTCGTTTTGTTGAAAACGTAGGCTTCTAGCCTTCTAGCCTCCTTCTAGTAAGAGCCTTGCTTCAATGGACCATGAAGAGGTCGTGAGAGGCAATAGAGGCAGTGTGATATCGCAGTCGTTCGACAGCAGTTCCTCGTGTCAGTGAAGATGAATCTTGTAAAGTTCCTCCTGTTATAACGAATTAACACGAAAGGCGCATTCTTCCATGTTTGAAAAGCATCGGACACGTGCCAGCAGCTTCCAAGGAGCGTGACGACCTGCAGCAGCGGTTGCAGGACCGGCCCCTGTCTCTCTGTGTGTCTGTGCGCAAGCGTGTACACATATATATATATATATATATATATCTCTCTGTCTGTCTGTGTGTGTGTGTGATTTTGTACATTCGCGGGGGGCAGCAGGGAGTCCACAGTTCTGCTGCCAATGCTAATTACTCTGTGAAGCAGATTGGGACGCCAATTTGTGTACCTGAATTTTTACTTATGTCTGCAGCTGGAAGGCGATGGGCATGTAACTAACCTCTAGTTGTTTTTGAGAGGGAGTGTCCAAGTGTGTTCCCGACCGGCATTCTCTCAAAGGGCCGGGCGTAGAAGCTTGATGAAACGAAGATCACTTTTGCCTGCCAAATCTTGCTGCCTGCTCCAACTTTTCTTGGTTCATAATTGCTTGCAATCCAGCATTGCATCAGCAAGTCTTCTCCTGGTTTAACAACTTTTGCGGGCATCATGACGAGGCTGCGGCTTGGACCTGTGAGCCGTCATGGTGGGCCCAAGACGACGACAGGAGGGCAGGACCCAACCCTCAACATGTGGGGTGGGACGTATACCCCGGACGACGACACAAACCAAAGACGACGATAGGAGGACAGGACCCAAGCCTCAAAATGCAGGGCGGGGCCTTTAATTACGCCGGACGACCACACAAACAAGACGACGACAGGAGGACGGGACCCACGCCTCAACATGCGGAGCGGGCCCGGACGACGAGAGAATCTCCGAGCATCACGACGGGCTGCGGCTTTGACCTGCGAACCATTATGATGACGCCTGGCCTAGTTACTAGTTGATGTAAGATTCTTTCTAGATACTCCTTAGCAGGACTATCTGTGTGTGCGAAGTCCTGTTTACCAAGGGATTCTTTACATTCGCAAGGGCAGCAAAGAGCCCACAGTTCTGCTGCCAGCGAAGACAGCTGTGGATATTCCGTGAAACAGATTGGGACGCCCATCTGTGTACTTGCATGTTTGTTTGAGTGTCAGCGGGAAGGCGATAGGCATGCAACCAACTTCTAGCCGTTCCTGAGAGGAAGTGTTCAAGTGTCTGTGTGTGTATTCATGCACAAGTGTGTATGTGTCTGTGTTTGTGTGTGTGTGTGTTTGTGTCTCTTTGTCTGTTTGTCAATTTGTGTCTCTGGATGTCCATGTGTTCGTTTTATCACGAGGCCCGGCAAAACAGCGGCCACGTCGTGGTAACTATAGTGTAAGTACAATGGTTCCTTCGCTTGTGCATGATTCCGCGCACCCAGTGCAAAACAAAGCAGGCCACGGAGCTTGCGCGGTGTGCTGCTAGGGCCTCGTGATGAGCAAGCTGCCATGGGACTCTCATACCGAGTTCCCAAAGCACAGGAGCAACAGCAAGGATGTAGCAAAGGATGTCGGGGGAACTTGCCGGCTGTATCCATGTCGGGACATGCCCTCCAAGGCCCAGCAGCGCCGAGCCACCGCAGAGGCTGGGGAGAAAGCCTGCATGCATCCGTGAGCACGAGGTGAAGTTGGATTTCTAAAAAAACGGGGAAGTTCAACTGCCAAGGCCGCCCTGCGCCGTTGTACGGAGGACTTGGCGCCAACCTCAGCTTCCCCGACAGCATCGGATCGGCTGCATCTGGTCCTCACTTCCCAGGAGTGGCAGCGCAAGCGGATAGCTGCACAAGAAGCTGGACAAGATCAGCCTTTCGGCCCGGGGACTCAAAGAAAGCATGTGGGGTTAAAATGAGTGATGTGCGTGCTGCAGCGTGGCCTGGAGCGAGCGGAGACAGTGCATTTCGGCAGGCGAAGCCGAGCTGCTTCGAAAACAACTTCGAGAGGCCACAGCGTTGTGCTTCGCGATGGTCTGTGCAAGCATGCTCATGATGGGGGCCTGAGACTTTCATTGCAAGTCAGGCCCAGGACAAGATTGCAGAGCTTGATGTTATCCTCTCTGCCAGGACACTTGGTGGCATGTTTGTGGTATGGACAGACACGTTTCTCAGAGCATGCATTGAGCCTCGAGGAGTGAGCGAGTACGTGCTAACGAGCGGGATTATGCAGAGGCCCAAGGTTGCCTGCTCTCACTAGTCTGCTGAGGTTGCATCATTCGAGGTTGATTGGCACTGCCCAGCACTAGCTATTGGTTGATTGATCAAATCGGCTCCCGAAGACAGCCTTGGCAGGACTCGGGGTAAGGGTGTCACAGCAAGTCAGAGGATGCATTCGAAGGAACACTGCGATATGTAGCGATGCGTGTTGGAAAGTTCAAGTTTTCAGTTCAGTTTCCTAACTGCTTCATTCAAAAATAGTACCGACTCTGCTGCTCGGCCTCAATAGCCGGTTCGGTAAACATTTCTGTTAGATCTTCCTCGTGAGCAGTGGAACACTTCACTGCGTCATTTACTCTTCCAGAGATATTTCATTATCTATTGTTATGATTACGATGATGATTCTTCGTGGTATTTGTTTGCATATGTTTACTTTTACTTTGCCAGACCAAGTTAAGGCCGAAGCGCGAGTGGAGTTTGACGCCCTTTCCGTTGCCAATGATGCACTGACCTCGGCTTGAACGCACGCGTGATGCGCAGCCGTCCTGACATGAGACGGAATCCACCTTCGGTGCTCAGACAGCTGTGATGTTTGTACTGTTGCCCCGGCCGACGCCAACTGCGTTCATTGCGACGGAGCTGCGCAACGGTCGCTTCCCTGCAGGCAATACAGAAAGAGCTCGAGGCCACTCGCAGCCGTGTCTTGGATGATTCGATCTGGTTTGAGAAGCTGTTGATAGAGTCTTCGCTCACGACCCCTGCCCTAACTTTTTCTCATCTTATGCATGAGATGATGCCACGTAGCCGTGACCTCCGGTCAGCGAAGCAGACCTTGCAACTGCTCTCGGGTCTCAGGCATCGCCTCCGAGCAGCAAGGCCGGAGCAGCTTCGAAGCTGCTTACATGGAGTTGAGTTTAACTGTTTGCGGCAAGAAAACAGAGCACTGCTTTTACACAGCTACAAGAATTCTTCTTTACGCAACACCACTATCCAACCTTACATGCAGAGTAAAGTGCAGGATGTGTCTAGGAAGCAGCCATGAAATTCTCAACAAGCTTATATGGGTGAATCTGGGTGTAGTGAGCACGTGAGAGGGGGAGACACAGGAATCACCACCTGCTGAAGAGGCTTACCTTAACACTTCGCAAGCTTGAAGCTGAAGTGGCCCCAACCAAACTTGCACCAACACGCCCACACATCACGCTGCACAACAAGTCTTAAAGGGGTGAAAAGGGGTTACATGTTTCTGGAGACTCTAGAGCCCGGGGTTTGTCAAAGGCATCCTGAACTGCGAAACGTGAAGGTTCCAAAAGGAAAAGGGCACCCCAGAGCCTTCCTTTGCTCCTTTGGAAGGCTGCCAGGCAGCCGAGTCGGAGCTCTCCGAGTTCCAGGCAACTGAAGCACAACAACGGGGGGCGGCGTCCATTCAATGGTCCGTGCAGGGTTAGGGTTTGGGCGTGCAGATTGTGGGGTGGGGCTTATGGGTGCAGTACTTGATAAAGCCCAACATATACAAGTAGGAGGAAAACACATGCCAAGTTCGCGCAGAGGGTGGCGGTGGGTTCAGCGTTTCCTGTCCAGGCGCGGATGCGTGCCGAGGAAATGGCCCGAACCTGAAGATCTGTGTGACAGTGACAACATCAGTTCATGCCCGACTTTCGTGCGTACTGCGAGAAGCAAGGGGGCAAAAGAAGTACAGCTAAGACTATAGTGGCGAGATACAGTCTCCTAGCTCGCCAGTCGCGACCAGTGTCGTCTACTCTCCGGTGCCTCACATTGCTAGCCGTAAAACAGCTTCGCTGGCCCGGCACCGGCACTGCACACCCTGAAACCTCAACGGGGTACTGGGTTCGCGCACAGGCATCATTGCATGTCAGAGTCATCGCACAAAGATCAGCAGAACAACATGTACTAAGACGACGAGTCACTGCCATACCGCTACCGCCACCACCACCACCACCACCACCACTTCTACTTCTAGTTCTTCTGCTGCTGCGTGGCGGCTAGTCAACCCAGGAGCTGCAGACAGCCAGCCTACAAGTCTCGTAAAAAAATAGCACTGCCGTCCCTTCAGGACGTTGCCCGTTCTACGGGCCCGGAAGTTCACGAAGCATTACCCGGGGCGGCGAACCGTTGGCCCCTCCCATATAACACATAAAGGCATGACCAAAAGCCAGGCTAGTTGAGTCAGGAGGGTTCACCCCGCCACCACGTTGAGGTGGTGGACCGCCTCTGGCAGGGCAATCAACTCGTTCACAAAAGCATCGAAGAATCTACCTGTAGCGGCCAATGCGTGTGGATGCTAAATCGAAGCACTTAGCCTAAACCCGAAAACTTGTTTTCGACTTGCAGGAACAGTCTCGCCGTCCTTCCGCAATCGCAGCAGCAGCAACACCTCCTCGTTCAGGTCCCCTGAAGTGACGACACCGGACACAGACCGTCGAAGAGTCCACCGTGATCGTTCGCTTTTGTGCATGATGCCAATTCGAGGCTGAATGTTTTGACTGAGAGAAACGCTTGGCTGAGGAGTTTGCGGCAGAGGTGGAGACGCTGGGTTCGCGCCGTCCGGGCCTGAAGCTGTCTCGGCTGCGCATCTGCGTTCCTGCCCGATGTGAACATGTGTTGCCAGAGCTTCCGAAGCGTATTTTTAGCATGGCTTTCACATGACGTGCAAACTGTCAAGTTTCTGGTCTCCGCGCCACACTCCCTAGACCTCGAAGGCTAAGCTTGGCCCTGCAAAATGCATTGCATTCTGAGGCAGCAGCTTGGAGACATCGCTGCGAGAGTCTTCTGCAAATTTGGCGGACATGGAAGCCGTCCCTTCCTTGGTTGTGAGAGTGAAGTGTCAGGGAGCTGACTCGTTGCGTGTGCGATAAGCCTTCTTTGAGGAAGTTTCTGCTGCCCGTGCTCAAAGTTTGGGCCTGCGCGCACAGCTGGAGGCCATGATCTTGTCGAGATCCTCTAGTTCCAGACTGACAGATGAGATAGACGGCAGAGCTGTGAATGGGCTTCACTCAGGCTTATGACTGTGCGCAGCATGACTTCGTGTCAGGTGCTACAAGCTGCACGAGATGAGATTGTGTCACAAGAGCATCAGGCCAGCTCTCACCAAGCTGGTTTTGCCCAGAGCACAGAGAGCGAATGGCAGGCGACTATCCAACAGCGGGCAGAGGCGCTCCGAAAGTACTAGACGCCCTGGGAAATCAGCACCGTGCAGCTAAACGTCACAGCTAGAAGCTACTGAGCTACTGATCATCGAGTGGGAAGCAAATCATTCGGGGAGAGGTCAACATGGTTGCTTGCAGTGCTGAGTCAGTCGACACTGTGCTTGCCGCAATCGCGCAGCCTTCATGATGCTCAAAGTCGCTTACCATAACGTGTAGACAGTCTTTGGAATCTTCAGGCCGGACATGCAGCATTGCTTGGTCGGTTAAGTGCTTGAGATGTTGATCATTTCCGTCAACCCCTTGGACACGTACCGCATTCTTCGATTCCCCGGCTCTGTCGGTAGAAGGTTCACGCACCTTGGCACTCAGCATTTCGTTTGCAAGGAGACCTTGCAAAGCATGGCCTTCTCTCGACGGTCCATGCCTCGGACTACAAGTTGCAAAATGCGCGCTCATTGAAACTGCAGCTGCAAACTTAAAGCACAGTCTTTGCACGCCCTGCCTTAGGACTTGGCTGACCCTCTGCAGTCTGACCTTCGCGCAGGGAGTGGAGAACGCAACTTGTGGTGCCGATGGTAGCTGAGCTGCACGATGAAGCTCCGAAGTGCCGATGCCTTCACGCCCCTTTCTTCCAAGCTGAGAAGGCTCCTGCGATCCAAATTCCTTGCTGCAGACAGTGCACAAGGGGCGGCATCTCTCCAAGGCTCGCCGACCGTGAGAAGCCATAAAGTCTCGATGTGCAAAATGCCTACCGCAGATGTCAATCGCCGTGCCTGTCCCTCAGGGCTGTGTAGTCGGTGCCCACGCCTCTTGGCCTTACGGCAGACAACATGTGATCTGTCTCAAAATGCCGGAGGTAGGAGGTCCTTTGCAACTCAGGTGACTTGCCCAGGAAGCGATGTCAGCTGCGTCGCTTCGCTGGCACAGAAGTAAAGTCACAAGAGAGACAGAGACAGAGACAGACAGAGACAGAGAGACTGAAAGGGGGGAGACTGTCGTCGACCCTCCATCGAAGAAGAGAGTGAAAGAGACAGAGATTATCCTTCTCTCCATGGCTTGAAGCAAGCAAGCAAGAGCCAGAAGTACGACACGCAGCGCAGCGCGAGGCTGGAAACCAATGCTGCCCCCCAGTTCAACCCGGGGGTCCCTCGGTCATTTGCCCATCTGCTTCTCCGGACTTCACTGGTTGCGACTTGGCCAGTGCAAGCTTCACAGCCTAATCCGAAGCTCTCGCGCCGAGTTCTGGGAGCCAAGAGCAGTCGCTCGGAGTTGAGGCGGCGACCCGGTGAAAGTGGAGGACTGCGTGTCAGGTGACACCCCGGCCCCAGCCCCGGCATCTCTGCTGGAACTCTGGGCAGGGAGGCGTTCACTTTTAGGGATCCTTTAATATTTAAGGGTCCTTGCAGCATCATGCCTTCGCCTCAGCCTCAGGCACCAAGCCCGCCAGCTCCTCCAGCTCCAGCTCCTGCCCCTTCTCCTCCACCCGACACCGCCGCCTCCGAGATGCAAGAAGAGCGGCCAGCCTTCTGGGTTCGAACGCTCACATGTCTTCTTGCACTTCAGGCATCTTTGACGATGCGCATCGTCAACAAGGAGTGGTCTGATGGCGTGGTGTTCTGCCGTGGTCCGCAAGATGCGCTGAGTGCCCCATCCGCAATGGAGGCTTGTGGATGCAGGGCATTTCATACAGCAGATGTCCAGAACGTGTGTATGTGTGTATCTTACAAGATGTCGCAAGTGGATACCGTTCTGCACTTTGCTGCAAGGCACGGTCTATCTGGATGCGGCGTTGACCCAAAGCGTCCGCAATTCACCTGTGGATTGCTCCGAGGCTGCCTGCTCGGCGGCAACCGACGGTCTTGTAGTAAGAGTGCATGTCTTGAAAACGAAGCTTTGCTTGCTGCTAACTGCTAAGTCTGATGTAGCCCGTATCTTTACAGAATCTGTAGGCTGCAAAAAAGTTACTCATCCTACAGCACACGGCAATGCAAAGGGCTGTGACCATGTCCTGCTGCAGGGAACTGGGAACGACCAGTATGGAAGTGGTGCACTTTGGCCAAGAAAGACCATTTTGTAACCTAAACACACACGAAGACAGCCCCAGCATGTCACCCCTGCAGAGCGCTTGTTGTTGACGTTGCAATGTGCAGAGGTCGAAGCGTGAACCACCACAGTTTCACACGTTGGATCGCTGCATTTGAGAGTGCTGACGTGATCCGAAAAGGTCCCAGATCTGACGACCCTGTGCATGGGCCTCAAGAAGGGCGAGTCGACCCTTGGATGGGAGGAAGCCACGTCTCCCTTGTTTTGATGGGGTCGGCTTGCAGTCCAAGTAACTGAGCTTCTCAATGTGTATGGATGTTTCAAGTTTTGTAGCAACCCTGATGGCAACCCTTAAAATAACCCTTATTAAGCCCTATAGTAACCCGAATTTGGCCTTAAAATGAGCCTTATCAACCCTCACGGTGCTCCTTTGCATTGGCCGACTTTCTCGGCTGCCTTGGGAGCAATTGGCTAAGCTTGGCTAAGCTGGCACAGGAAGCGGGCAGCTATGGGAAGGTCCAGAAGAGTTCTGCAGGTACATCATGCCCAGGGATGTTGACTCTGTTTCAGGGGTTCGTGGCCTGGGAGCCAGGTATTCCTGCTTGGCAGGACGGTGCACGCAGGTCACTACAGTTCTTGCACAGTGTGGAACACTTGCGGTCACCGATCCCGCAGATTCAAGCTTCTTGCACGTGGATCAGCTAAGGATCGATCTCTTCTTCGGTGAAGGTGGAAACTGGCCTTCCGGCACATGCTGGTTCCAGGATATCGCATCGAATCAGCAGCACTCGCCACTTGCTGCCCAATCTTAAAGAGTGAGGAGATTCGTTTTAAACCTTGAGGGTGAACCGCGAGCGTCAAAGCGAGCTTGGAAAGGTTTGATGCATAGTGCAGTGTATCTGGATCCAACACAGGATTAGGGGGCGTGTAGCTTCATGCAGCCATTTGCAAGATGCATTTCCAGAACGGCCCCCGTCGGTCTCACGTCTCACAGTACCAAAGCGGTACTGTACAATTCCAAGGCTGTCCATGGGACCTCAATACCAGAGCCAAGTCGAGTTCACGAATCTCGGAGCAGCAGCAGAGATTCGAGTGAGTGCAGGCAGAACGCAATTTTCGTTCTTACCGACATGGCTCCAAGGATTACCACTGTCGTGTCCTGGGATCTCACCTCGGTAGAAGGAGTGTCTGGAGGTGTCACCATGAATTACACAGATGGCAATGGAAAGAAGACCGCTGCTGGGCCAAAACATGACGACCTGCTTGGCCAGTGGATGCCAGTCGTTTAGAACAGCAGACGTCGTGGTCGTCGTCTGCACTGGAACATGACTTGAGCGGGCCTCTGGCGGCCAAATCCCAAAGATGTGCTGAGGATGTGGTTGCCTTGCCTGGCAAATTCACCGGATCTCTCTTGAAGATCCAGCCTGCTCCTGGCATTGGCTTCCCTACAGTTCTGGCTGACAAGCACCTCATCCGTCGATAGAGAATGTCAGGCGGATCCGACTTCCCAGAAACTATTGCATGGAATGATGCTGAGAACCATTACACGGTACTGAAATGAAGTTGGCAGCTGACGACAATTTGACAAAGGTTGTTATGACGTTGATGATGATCGTGATTTTCATCACCGGGCGAAGGCTGTACTGCCGGTGCTGCTGTGATGATGAAGACGAAGAAGAAGATGAT